TTGTTCCAACCCCGTAAGACCTTCGTTCATCTTCGGAACACAAATTAATTAATATTTAAGATATTAAGATCGCTCCTGCATACAGTCCATAGGCTTCTTGAGGGACTGGCCCTTGCTGTCCCCGAAAAGTCATTAAAGACATCGTTAAAATAGTCCAAGTGACTACAGGGGCTCAATCTTAAGTTTATCAAACGACGAGAACACTTTTGTGCGCAAAAAAACAACAAAAATAACGACTTTATAGCTATATTTGATTAGGGCACAGATAACCTACATTTTATTTCAGGCATTGTTTGTTTACACTGGTGACAATGAAACGTTATTACCTTCAAAAAAAATCCATTAAACGAGTTGCAATTTGAGAACAGTACACTAAAATGTTCAGTTCCGTTAATCCGTTCGTTTTGCTTGTTGTCTCAAGGCCACGCCCACAATATGTAGGGAGAAGACACGTAAACTGGTTGAGGAGATATTCCCTAATACAATTGTAAAGCGATTTGGGTGTACTGTACTGTAATAGGCCTACGTATTAAAGCGCTATATAAATGTGTAAGTTAGTCCACCCACTGGAACAGTTTTCACAGGAACTAATATTACACAACACCTGTTTTACCTCATAAAATCCAGACTCGCGAGCAAGGGCACGTGCCTAAAATGCATGCAAAACATCTGGCCCTGGCCGTGAATAAAAAACAGCGTTTGTGACAAATAGGGGCGGGTTTCTTAAGACATTATCGCCATCTGGTGGCGGAACGTATTAACTACTGATGGACACATAGATCATGTTCAGTTCAGTTGCAACTAGAGGGCGGTGTCGTAGCACACACAAATATTAATTTATCATAATACAAGACCGTATTGTTAAAAATTTAACTGGTTTTCTGATAGGAATAAATAAATAAATAAATATTATTTATTTCTTTATTTTCTACTAGACGAGGTGTCAACACCAATATGATATTATATGCATTGTTCTTATTTAACTAGTAACTTTCTTGTTGGATCCCCCAAAAGACAGATTGATTGATTGATTGATTGATTGATTGATTGATTGATTGATTGGTTGATTGATTGATTGTTATCAGTCAAATCAATGAAAATGAATGACAATGAAAAAAATAATAGTTTTCTCATATGACATATTTATACGTCACATAATGGTTGCAGACTCTTCTTTTACATTTATAAAATAAAATAAAAAATTACTTTTTTTGTTAAAAATATCAAAAAGTGCTGCTATTGGAAGTAAACACATATAGGCTACCATGGTAGGCTATATATCAAAATGACACGTTTTTACCATTTGATGTCAAAGTTTTAAAAGATTTAGGCTCACTTAAACGAAACAAAATTAAGGAGACAATTACATTACATAAAACACTTCGCAAAAGTGACCGAATACTACTTCAAGCGATTCTTAGCACCTTAAGTGTTTCCTGGTCGACTGTTCCTTTAGTCTGGAATGTGTCATATTTACTCACCACAAACGAACTTTCCTGGTCATCTCGTAATGGGTGCGCCTTTTTTGACATTCTAAAAGTCTAGTCTTCAGCAGTTTCCTTGAGAGCAAACCAAAAAGAGCAAAGCAGAGGCTGCTCTCTCTGTACCTGCTCAAATTGGTATCTAGATGTTCTATCTACAGCATAAAAGCCAGACTAATGATGACCTTCTCTGACCTCAGAACCCAATAAAAGTATTAAACTTGCTGTGTAAAGGCATTCATGCAGGGTTGCCAACTCTCACGCATCTGGCGTGACACTCACGCATTCAGCCTCAATCTCACGGTCTCACGCTCAACATAGAAATCTCACGCTAAATTAGACATTCTTCTGGGCTGTATTTTTTTTTTTGTATTACTATAAGCAAGTTCAGGCTCTTAACTACTGACTGGACGCAGAGAAAAATCGCGGAAAAAGATGACACCGACACCGACAGACTACAGAGAAGTTTACTCCTGATATGGAGCGTTTTGGCGCTTTTAAATGTGACAGAACGCAGTAGCGCGTCAGTTCAAACGGCACGTGATACAGTTGCCTAGGCTACAACATCCACAGGGCATGAGCAAAATACTGTATCTGGTAATCTCCCGCTTTATATTAACAAACTGTCAACACGGGCTTTTGCGATGCACAGAGAGACGCTGCGCTGCCTATGACCTTGAACGTGACTTGAGAGCGTACATTTGCACTACGTGCCTGTCTTTTTAGCAAAAAAGATATCTTTCACTAAATATTTACAGTGGCGTAGGGCGAGGGCGTGAGGTGCTGATAGCAAATTTTGACGCGTTCGACCCGAGTTCGAATCCGGCTTTTACTCTCTCTTCTCATCTGGTGTTTTCTCCAAAATAAAAGCTCAAGGGTTTATTTCTTGCAAGTGAAGAAATTAGGACAAAACTATTGTAATTTTCCTATACAATAGTGTAAGTAAAATATACTTTTGAAATATTCATTTTCATTTATACAGCAGCCTACATTTATAGACTAGGCCTATATGGATTTTACGTAATAGGAATAATTATATAAATCATTATTACATTATTATAATAATCGTTTATTGCATCCTAAAAGAGACTGAGACTTTATATCATAAAGTCTTTATATCATAGACTTTATATCATAACTAAAAAGATGTTTGATCACTCTTTAATGTCCAGGTACAAGTCGAGGCTTTTGCTTTGTTGAATGTCACAGTTCATGATTTGAAGCCGGTTAAAACTCTTAATTTTGAGCTCTCAAAGTGCACCAGATTGATGCATTTAACCTTAAAATGTACAAAATTTTCTTCCGGGGGAGCATGCCCCCGAACCCCCCTAGAAGGACAGAGGTCTCAATATAGTTTTAATAAATCATATGGGAAAGAACAATAATGTATGAACTTTACTCCCAACTGTTTTTTTTATCAGTAAAACTGTTAGCCTAATGCCAAATTAAAATTGGACAAACTATACATTGTGCCCTACAAGATCTTGTGACCCCCCGCCCCCCCCCCCCAACCCCACAAAAAAAAAAATCTCACTCCAAGCAAAACTCAAAAGTTGGCAACCCTGATTCATGCCACCTCTGAGTAGCATTAAACAGTCATTTACTGTTACTAGGACTTTAGAAGCGCTTATGTGCGTGCCACATTTAAAGTGTAAATTATTTGACACTAGAGAGACATCAAGGTAATATCAATACAGGACACCAAAAGGTCTGTCAAGCAAGGATGATTTCACCAAAGAGCTCTGCAAGCCACATTTTAATACCTAAAAATCACTAAAGAATGTTTCACTACATTGAGAATCAATCTATGAATGTGTTCACTTGCTGGCCACACTATAAGATATATATAGGAATTGAGAAGATTGGGCAAACTGTCTTCATATCAGGATGGTGGAAAGTGACGTTAGCATCTGCACGGCCAACACACACTGATCTCCGTTTCTTCACATTTGCTGTCTCTGGAACACCTCTATATGTGTGAAGTTGGGTCACTCCGTCTACTCCGTGAAACCTAATTGCTCCTTCCTGGCAGCCATCGGCATCCCAGGGGCCACGCCACAGAATAATCCCGTAACCTACCTTCCATGCCGTCTGCTAATTGAAATAGCTAATGAGATCTCAGAGGACCAACTTTCCAAGCACTTCGTTAAAAACAGTGGCAGGATGTCAAAACATGTATAATAGTGCTGTAAACGCGTGGAAATAGTTCAGTTCTGGACACAGCTTTGTGACCGAGTTTGCGAACTTAATTATTTACAGCCGCCTGAAAACAACATGTTCCCGCGTCCTCATCATCACACAAAGCTCACTTTATGGCTTTGGTTACTTTTCTACCTCACAAGCAAACCACAATGAAATCAAATATTGTTTGTTCAGATAAACACACAGTATATAAACCACAGTATACATTTCTGAGAGAAAAGTTTCTAAACCACACAAACTATTCAGAGATTTACGTGAGAACAGTCATAATCATAATATCCCACAGTTATGAGTAGCATACTACTTACGGCATCCTGCACAATAATCTCACAATAACACCGTGATTTTGCTTAAGACTTTGTTGATCCTGGAACAACATTCCTGTCAAAAAATCTAGTCATAACCCATAAAAAATCCCTAAAATCAGAGAGAAATGATAGGTATGAGCACTTAAACCTGGTTATAAGCCTAAACATAAACTGTAAACTTGTCCCTCAAATATGATTGGATGATTGGGATGTTGATCCAGGAACATGTTGTACTTGGTGAGATCAGGTTCAGCTCTCCGGTCAGTCATAAGATGATCTTCAAATAGGCCTACTTAATTCAACGATCAAAGCTCTGTAGTTCTTACTGTGGGGGGCAAAACATATAATGCGACACAATACTGATGGTTAAGAGATGGGACAAATAAATATTCCTCAAAAGCCTGATGTGCCATATTTGATAGTCACATTTTACCATGTCTTTTCACCCTAAAAATGGATGTCAAGTAAACCTAAGTTGCTTCAGTTCAGTATGTGTTCATCTTGACATATAACCGACAATTATTCTTGTTTATAAAAATCAGTAAGACATCAATGCAAAAAGCATTTTTTGCATATTTACAATTATACTAAAAATGGACTGTGTGCAAGTCTTCTGTTTTTCTGATTATGATTCAGAGGTCTTAGAAATTTGCATATCAAATGTGATATAGTAGGCTTTATAGGGTTAAGAAAGTAAATAAGACCTCAAATTGACCTCAATGATTTTTTTTTGAAAAACAATCCCCCCAGAGCTTTTGCCAGGATAATGTCATAGTGTTTAACAAGAGTCAACATTTGAGGCTGACTTTTACGCAACAATGAATTATATAATTTAGTTTGTGCACATCATGAGTGCCAGCATTTCACACACACCACTTCACGAGCCCTAATTAGATAAATGAACACTGTCAGCGTGTGTGATACTGGCTCTATTCAGAAGATCTCTGTCGCATTATTCAGCCAGTCATCACATGCAGAGTCCTCACCCACCAAAAAACACAATGCAGCCTTTAGAAATAACTTGAGGTTTATTAGCTATGGAGTCTTAGGAGAGTCACACAAACAGGGTTAGGAACAGGGTGAGGTGGTGGTACCAAAAGAAAGAAGTCGAAAAAATAAAATAAAAAACAAGAGAGAAGAACAGAAAGCAGTAATGAAGAAGAAGAAGAGAAAAAAAAAAAAAAAATCAAACTCCTAACTACCAATAGATTGAATTGAACTAAAACTACAAATTGTATTTTGTCAAGTACGGCTTTAAAAAAAAAAGGAACCTTTATACATTTGTCTTTTATACAAGTAGCAACATTGGAGAATCACACTGAAAAAAAAAGCAATTTACAAAAAAAATACATTTTTGTTTAAAAGAGAAAAGCAAAATAGAGGGGTGATCAAATATTGACCAATAATCATTCCTTTTCATTCTATCTTAAAAACTTGGTCTAATATCTATAAAAATGTAAAAACAAAGCAATATACAGGTGTAAAAAGTTTGTTTTTTTTTAATCAAAATTTTTTCACTCCACTGATTTGGTGACCAAGGAGAGAGGTTGTGTCTGCAGCAAGGCATGATGGGAATGTAGGGCTGCCTGGTGGTAGGGTGAGGATGGGGAGAGTAGGGAGGGAGGCAGGGTGGTGAACGGGATGGGACGGGAAAGGAGGCTCGCCGACTGGCTGTGGAGAGAGATGTTCGGATGAGAGGAGGTGGACGAGGAGGAGGAGGAGGAAGAGGAAGTGGAGCCTGAGGCTTTCCCTGGCAGGGGGAAGTGTGAGTGGTGGGATCTCCCCTCCGGTTTGGTGGTGAGGGACAGGGGCTGCGCCTGCTCCGAGTGAGTGGCCGCGGGGGCCGCTGGCGATGCCAGGGCGGCCGATGGCGTGGCGGGCGAGTCCAGCATGCTACCGTGCGAGGAGGTAGGGCTGTCGCACATTTTCTCGGACGGCAGGTACGGCATACACTGCTTCTTGGGCTGGGGCGAGAAGTTACCTGCAGATGAGGGGGAGGAGGGTTAAAAATACACCCAAATTGTGTCAACCAAAATGTGATTTGGATGCAAAATTGAACTAGTTAAAGTAAAACACTAAAACAGTAAAAAAAAAAATGTTAATACATATTTAAATTGGTGGTGTTATAGCCAACTAAAACTGTTCCATTATCGTTGATTGAAATAAAAGAGTTTTTTTAAATTATTATTTCAGTTAGTTGTCAAGGTAATTTTTTAATTTACAAAAATAAATTAAAAGGTAAATATATAAAAAACTAGCTCAAAATACTAATATATTGTACTTAAATTAATATATAAAATGTTTGAATATTTAATTGAATTAATTTATTTTGCATAAAATATTTTTAATGACTTTAAATAGTGATTAAATGTAAAGGATATTTTCATAAAAATATAAAAACTAAAAATGACTCCAAATTGCTCATAACTGTTGAAAACAATGTGACCATGAATAAATAAATTTTTACTTAAAAAAAAAAAAAAAAATCCAATATACAAAGAAAAACAAAACCCCAAAACGTTCACCATCAAGTCAAAACTGAACTGAACATGATCTATGAGCCGAGAGATCGGACTAACATAGGTGCTGGGGAAAAAAAATCTGCTCTAGTTCACATACAGAAAGTGAGAAAGAAATACAGATGGCCAGTGACACTTACACTCTGGTGGGGAATCAGGTTTATTGTCTCTCTTCCGTTTCTTCCTCTTTCCCTGTGGAGAGACATGATTTGGAGCAAATTAGATGTGTGTGATTAAGCAAAACTCCCCTGGTCGCCAAAACCAATGGAAGAATCCGAACCCCACAAGATATGCGTTAAACTCTGCATTCTGGGCTTACTCACATAGTTGTCTCGCGCAGACCAGCCCGGATAAAGCTGAGAGTGCAGCTGCCGTTCTTTCCTGGCGAGTTCGTAATATTTGGCCTGTTCCTCACGTGAAAGAGAGTGCCACTGCGGGATAAAAGAACATATGGTCAAAATTCCCTCTTGATAGTTCACCAAGATATTTGCAATTTCAGTCATGTCATTTCAAACCCATATGTGTTTATTTCTTGTGCACAAAAGAAGAGATTTCACGCAAACCACTTTTATGATATATATGTGTCCTTTTTTTACATTTGAAAGCTTCAATGCGCATTCATTGTAATTGCACGGAATAGAGCGACCAGCACAATCTTCAGAATATCTCCTTTTGTGCTTCATACAGGTCTGGAATGACACGAGTGTGAGTAAATCACACCAATTTTTCATTTTTAGATGATCCGTTCCTTTAAGACAAGATGAAGAGAAACACACTAATGCATCTCAGCTCCTCTCATAATGGGAGTTGTAAGCACTCACCCTCCTGCCCAGGATCTGGTTGATGGCTGCGCTCTCTTTCAGGGTGCATTCGGCCACTACTTTGGCCCTCATTTCCTTCATGTAGAGCATGAAGGCATTTAGGGGCTTCTTGATGTGAGGCTTCTTCTCTTCCTCTTTCTTCACATGCATCGGAGACTTTCTGTACGGACACAGATGACAGATGTAAAGATGTCGGTCGCAGAACAGCAGAGGAATGTCTGGGAGAGAGAGACTCACCCGTGTGTCGAGTTGCTGGCGTTGTCGCCGCTGGGCTCCTGTTTGATGGCAGGCGACACAATGGCAGGGTGAGGGATGCCCGTCTGGTGCAGGCCGTGAGAATGATGAGGCACCATGTGAGGAGAGAAACGACTGGATACCAGACTAGAGAGAGAGAGAGAGAGATCGGTTCACAGTCAGCGATAGATGGTAATAAACAGATGGACAAAAAAAAAAATGCAGACAGAACGATAAATAGATGGATGACAATACAACAACAGACAACGGTAGACAGATAAATGATGAATAGACCAAATGACAGAGATAGACAGGTGTCTGTCTGACAGAAAGACAAACAAAACGATAGATGGATGGAAAAATAACAGACAGATAAATAGATACTATAGACAGATGGAAGGATGAATAAAATGACAGACGGATAGACAGATGACAAAAAGGAAGAAAGACAGACAGACAGAACAATAGATGGATGGAACAAATGAAAGACGGATAGATAGACAGACAGACAGAAGGACGGACAGACAGAGGGATGGATTAAACAGCAGACGATGAGATAAAAAAGATGGAAGAATAGATAAAATGACCAAAAAAAAACAAATAGATAGATGTCTGTCAGAAAGACAGAACGATAGATGGATAGATAGACAAAATGACAGACAGATCGACAGATGTTTGTCTGACGGAAAGACAAACAGAACGATAGATGGATGGAAAAAATAACAGACAGATAAATAGATACTACAGACAGATGGAAGGATGAATAAAATGACAGACAGACGACAAAAAGAAAGAAAGACAGAACAATAGATGGATGGAACAAATGACAGGCGGATAGATAGACAGACAGAAGGACGGACAGACGGAGGGATGGATGAAACAGCAGACAATGATAAGATAAAAAAAGATGGAAGGATAGACAAAATGACCAACAGACAAATAGATAGATTGATAGATGTCTGTCAGATAGACAGAACGATAGATGGATGGAAAAAATGACAGACAGATAAAATAGATACTATAGACAGATGGAAGGATGAATCAGATAGACAGATGACAAAATGAAAGACAGACAGAACAATAGATGGATGGAACAAATGACAGACGGATAGATAGATAGACAGACAGACAGATGGATAAAACAGCAGAAAATGATAAGATAAAAAGATGGAAGGATAGACAAAATGACCAACAGACAAATAGATAGATTGATAGATGTCTGTCAGATAGACAGAACGATAGATGGACAAAAAAACAGACAGAAAGTCAGACAGACAACGATAGATGGATGGATAGACAAAATGACAGATAGACAGACAGACCGACAGATGTCTGTCTGTCAGAAAGACGGAACAATAGATGGATGGAAAAAATGACAGACAGATAAATAGATACTATAGACAGATGGAAGGATGAATAAAATGACAGATAGACAGATGACAAAATGAAAGACAGACAGAACAATAGATGGATGGAACAAATGACAGGCGGATAGATGGATAGAAAGAAAGACAGATGGATAAAACAGCAGACAATGATAAGATAAAAAGATGGAAGGATAGACAAAATGACCAACAGACAAATAGATAGATTGATAGATGTCTGTCAGATAGACAGAACGATAGATGGACAAAAAAACAGACAGAAAGTCAGACAGACAACGATAGATGGATGGATAGACAAAATGACAGATAGACAGACAGACCGACAGATGTCTGTCTGTCAGAAAGACGGAACAATAGATGGATGGAAAAAATGACAGACAGATAAATAGATACTATAGACAGATGGAAGGATGAATAAAATGACAGATAGACAGATGACAAAATGAAAGACAGACAGAACAATAGATGGATGGAACAAATGACAGGCGGATAGATGGATAGAAAGAAAGACAGATGGATAAAACAGCAGACAATGATAAGATAAAAAGATTGAAGGATAGACAAAATGACCAACAGACAAATAGATAGATTGATAGATGTCTGTCAGAAAGACAGAACGACAGATGGATAGATAGATGGACAAAAAAACAGACAGAAAGTCAGACAAACAACGATGGATGGATAGACAAAATGACAGATAGATCGACAGATGTCTGTCTGTCAGAAAGACGGAACGATAGATGGATGGAAAAAACGACAGACAAAAAATAGACAGATGTCTCTCAGTCAGAAAGACAAACAGAACAATAGATAGATAGATAACACCAGGAGAACATTTCATTTTAGCTACATCTGGAAAACTGTTCACCGTGTTTCCAAATTCATAACAGCTAATACAATAGCAGCATTATCATTTTCACATTTGATAAAAAAAAAAAAAAACTGTTCAAATCTGTGATTTGCACACTCTTGTTAAACACATATTTCCACTGGACTTCAGCACTTTACCGTGTCACAAAATGAACACAAGCAGAAAAAGATCTCTCTCTTGCTACAGAGCAACAAAAGGTGCAGTCATAAGACAACCATGAAAGCAATAGAGGGAGATTAAAAGCCATGGCAATTTCAGGTTGATGTGCGACAACTGAACTCATCCAGCAATCTTATTTAATTTTAAGCATTGTGTGAATGGAAAGAATATGATAAAATCATGCATTAGAGAAGTTTCTATTCAATATGAGTTTTAGGATGTGCTACTTTTTGTATAATGGCTAGCATATCTACAGTAAAATGGTAGAAGGGTATTGAGGTAGAGGTATTGTTATCTGCAACAATACCTCTAGATAAATACAGGTTTTTATCCAACTGAAATAAGTTTGGTCAGGTTTCCTTGCTTGGAAGTTTTCCGTGTGACATTTGCATAATATTAATAAAATATATTAAAATAAGACACTAAATTATTCTTCCCCAAATCCAAAAAGTTCCATGTTAATCAGATAAGCACCATTGTAATTGCATGGTATTTTTAAAATGATCCTATACATTTTTTAATGCCATGCTAAAAACATTTCAGCCGTTTCCTGTACTAACTCTTCTCTGAGCCTTCAGGGAGGAATCATGCTGTTTGCTTCTCATGTCTAACAATAGACGCGAGTTTAACTTTAAACCAACATGTTAGTGCAGAGGGAGGGTTCTGCCCTCCGTTACATACCTAGACATGGAGGCGTTCATGGCGAGTGCAGGGTAGGGGTGTCTGAAGCCCCCAGGAGGGATGGAATACATATGCTGGCCTTGCCTGAAGATAGAAGAGTAACAACTCAAACAACTTGCTACAGCAAAATCAAGGGCAAACAGATGGTCTTTTCCAAGGAGAACTTACAAAAAAAATAGCTACAAACTTGATTATGCCATCTGCATGGGTAAAATAAGGTTGATGTTATGTATTCTAAGGCCACGTAATTCAGACTTACTGAGGAACCAACCATCCTAGAGGGTGAGGGATCTGTCCAACTGCCCCAGGAGAGAGAGGGTAATATGGGGACAGCTCTGAAGGGTGAGGGGTCCTTGGTATGCCTGAGGAAATAATTGTTGATTACGAAAACTGAAGATGACAAATATAAACATAAGTCAATTTAAGGGTGAAGTATGTAACTTCTGCGCTGTTACTGGCACCTAAATGAATTGTAAATGTAGTGGCTGTCTTTAGAGGGGAAAAAACAACACTCCAGACTGGCAGGGCTCCAGACTGCGACCAAATAGTCGCATTTTGCGACCAAAATTTGAGAGTGTGCGACTGAATTTTACATCCAGTCGCACATGTGCAACCGGTAAATTTGCCACACGTTAAACGCATGGTAAAGCATGGAAGGGACGCGTCAATGAATCCGTGACAAGAATAGCGCGAATAACCGTCTGTGGGAAGGAGACGGAGACAAATATCACAACCTGCAATGTGCGTCTGAGCAATAAGCGATCTATCGCCACGTTACCTAGCAGCGAATACAAACAAAATGAAAGTGGAACTAAAATACGCAACTCATGGACGGACCGTTAGCGTTTTTATTAGGTTGGACATAATAGACAGAGCTGTCAGAGCAGCGCATAGTGGAGCCCCCCCGAACCACTGACAGTAAAGCCCCGAACTTGCCAGTCGCGGGCCGATCTCGATCACGCGACACTGTTACTAGCAGATCCAGTGAATAAATCCATTGAATTCACCTCAGAATTAATAACATCATCGCTACGAGATCCAGTGAGAAACATTCGATTCGGCGCAGAGTTCTGTTATAAACCACAGATATCAGATCAAACAGCGCTGACGTGGAAACCGGGAGAAAGACTTACAGAAGGCTTTCAGTCCACAAATCAGCAACATTCACCATGAATTTAGGCTAATGTAGTAAGTTAATTCTAACCATAAATATGATGTCAAACGCTTACAACGTAGCCTACACATCTTTGTCCTGCTCTTCAAAACGATAATATCATATATAAATGTTTTATTTTTTGTATTTTTTTTTTTGTGATGATCAACACATTTTTTTGTTCATTCTTCAAAGATTGTCCTAAAACGAAAAATTTTAAGATGTTGGAAAACTCTTATTTAAACATTAAATTATTATTATTATTTAAAAAAAACAAAAAAACATTGTAAACAGTAAGATGTTTATTGGCTATTTTCACTCCAAGTCCTTATATGCATACATGTTTTCTCTCCTTTTGTTTTTAATTAATATTAAGACATTATAAGTGATAATAACTAAATTAATCTAAGTGATTTATTGTCAGCCCCAGTGCTACCAGTTTTTTTTTTTTTTTTTTATAACTCGAGTTCTGATTTGAGGTGGTGCTGCCTTCAAATTTGAGTCTGGAGCCCTGTGAACTTAAAATAAAACAGCATATCATAATGTTAAGTCTATTTATTATTAAAGAATTTGTCAGTATTACAGTTATGTTGGGGGAAATTTGAATAATTGCATTGCGAGCTGATTTAAGGTGTGCCCCTAAATTTTCTGCTTGCGCTCCTAAAATTTTCAGTCAGGGGCAACAGCACTCCTAGTAAAAAAAGTTAGTCTGGAGCCCTGACTGGTTTAGTTGCAATTCCATTTAGTGCCACTAGCTGCATCAAAATAACACGCTTCACCTGTAACTACATCCAATAAACCCCATCAAAACAATGAAGTACTCTACGTTTCTGGATTGCATTAAAAGCTCAAAGCGAATGCATCTCAGATTGCTGAACCAGTTGGTGGCGCTTACCTGTCTTTGGGTCGAGAATCTCCGGTGAGAGGTGAGAGGGAGGCGTCCCCGGGGAAAAGTGTTCATTGCTGTAGGTAATCAGCGGTGTGAGGGGATGAACGTGATGGGGGTGTTGTACTACCGGCACCTTATTGGACTGGAAAACAAAATGAGAACACAAAAGAAGTGAGGGAGGGGGGGAATGAAATGATTATGCATGTTTAAACAACCAAAAAGGCAAGCGAAAAGAAGAAAATAGACATTAAACCTCATTACTCATGAGCGGCGCCAGAGTGTTTTAAAGAACAATGGGTCTCAGCAGCAGGGTTTACTTTTCCCTACTTCTACCAAAGGAAAATAAACACCAGTTGGGCATTTGACCGGCTGTGTGGAGAGTGGGAGAAATAGCACCTTACACCCCTAGCAGGCAGCGTTTCTCTCGTTTTGCACACTAGCGACAAGAGAGATGATTCCAGCTGCCACTCGCCATAATTGACGCTAGGAAAGGCCTGGCATTTGAAGGGGAAGTGGCAGTCACTACACTCTTAGGGATCAAGAAGCACCTGTTGTAACAAATCCTTCAATGCTTCTTTTGGCAAGGTGGCAAATCAGGACTACATCTGCTAGGCCAGGGGTAGCAAAACCTAATCAAATACACCATAAGCAGCTAATCAGGGTCTTCAGTATTACTTAAAAATAAGAGGCAGGTATGTTGGAGCAAGAATGCAAGTGAAGTCTGGAGGAAGGTAGCACTCCAGGAGTAGGGTTGGATACCCCTGCGCCAGGCTAATGTGATTGCTAAATAGATATGCAACCTTTGAGTTAAAACCTAATGACTTTCTGAAGAGTGTTGCCTAAAAAGTTCCCTATATTTAACCCAAAACCAATCATAATGGCTATTTCAGCTTTTTTTAATGTAAAAAAATACTCTATGCAAGTACATGAACACAACTGCTAAGCTAAGCAAGCTTAATTTCATGTTTCACATTCTAAGAATTCCAGCATAGGGTGCGCTACACTAATGCTTGCTGCATTAGCATAAACTGTCTAGTCAGGTGAATTACTGTCATGGTAAACCTACAGTTTTAAGAGAATCTCACCAAACAAAAGTAGTTTAAGTTGGTCTGACTTCAACTCACCAATTTTAAGTACACAGTCCCACCCCCACAATACTTAGGAACTTTTATTAGCATATAATTTACTAGCAACCCCCAACTACATAAATATAGCAGTAGCACTATAATAATATCAGAAGCAGCACTGCTGTGATGTGTACATAAGCCAATGCAAGGTGGTGAGCAGTAGACTGAATGGGGTACTTGTTGGCTCAGGACGTCACAAGGGAGCGAGAGTGGAGAATGCCGTCTTGTTTCCTCCATGCTAACCTTCCCCCCACCTCTATGTAGGCAGTGGGTTTGACCTCTGCTCCAACCAGCACTCTGTGAACATGAACAAGGCTTGCATTGAGACAAGACTAGCTCTCATTTCCCACAGTCCAAACACATCCAGATCTCTGGGTTGCCTCTCTATTCCTCGGCTATCTGTCTGACTGTCTGTCTCTGTGTTTGTACATAGTTTAGCATTGCATTTGCAGAGACAAGCTGTGCCTGACTTCTGGAAACCCTGCAAGGTCCATCAAAGGATTGTTTTAAAGATCTGTCAGTAGGTTGATTGAGAAAGAAAGGAATAGGACAACTTCCACTTATCCTTTAAGATGGTGTATGTCCTCTGCACTATGATATTAGCTGTTGAGGCTAATGGTCTCTCTTTCCCACTATCCTTCTGCCAAGAATCCCTGCTGTGTCAACACGCCAGCCGTTTTGCCTCCAACACCACCATCCCAAGCATAGAATGCCGCCAGACTGGGCCCCTCGCCTCCATTAAAAATGGACTGGATGGGACTGGCTGACTCCAAGCATCCCAAGGATCCATATCAGCACCTGGTCAAAGTACTCCTATTTGTTGTTTAAGTGGGTGCTTTCCAGCTAGCGGAATGGAAGTATCCACCGGATTAACCCAATTTAAGTCTTAAATGAGGAACTGGGGGAAAACACAGTGTGACCACAGTTCGGTGAGCTTTGAAAATATATGGAAGCCGAGTCACTGAGTTTAAGGACAATGATACAGCAACAATAGCACTTTCTCAGCAAAACATTCTGGTTGCAATTTGCTGGAATCAACCTTTAGATGGCAGAAATGGGTTCTTCTTCAAATGTGGTCTGTTAACAGGTACCTGGCTTTTTTACGTTTTGTCCAAACAAGTACTGCAGTTCATCAAGGGCAAAGCCTGATAAATCTTCCTAAATCCACTTTAGTAAGTTGGCCTGTAGGAGGAGAAGACGCCTGACCAGCAAAACAGTGAAAAACAGCTGACAAAACACCTCTCCAAACAGAAAAAGTGCGTCATTGTGTAAACATTGTTCCACCTTTTGTATCACACAGTTGCATTACATTGACTCAAGAGTTCTCAAGCACATATTTACCAATTGTGCTAGGTCAGACTTTCATTTAACGGACATTATTTTGAGACGCTTAGAATTAAAGACGTTCAAAGACGTACAATGTTATCTTCAGAATTATTTGGAGTGACTTCTCCACAAGGTGTTGCAGCCATTTGAAAATGTCAAAAGTCACAACAGTGCAGGGTCAGCGCTCTACACCTGCTGATTAATCTGTTGCTTTTCTCCGCCTGCTACCGAAGGAACCCGCCCAAAGACGACTTCTGGTGCCACCACATGGAGCTGTTAAAACTGGAGCTCTGCTAAAACAAGCACATTGTGGCATAAGAAGCAAATGTGGCCTGTTTTTTTTTCTTCTTCTTTTGGCTTCACCTCCTCCATCTCTGACTTGAGTTACTGAGCAAACAGGCGTTTGAGCAAGAGGGATCAAGACACAATGAACCGCTTTAGTGCTGGAAGAATGAGAGGCTAAACACAGATTCAAATGAAGGATAATAAAATAGTGCAGAGGAGAGGACAAGCCAAAACTAGCAGTATAAGCCAAACAGTATGATCCCTAACAATGGGGCACAATTTACAATAATCACCATCTAGCGTCTAAGGGGTACAACATGGTTTTGAATTACATTTTAGCATCTCCATTAAGTACAATTTTATGTATTTTAGCGATTGTGTTTCACATACTCATACTTAACCAGGCATTGTAAATGGAGGCCACAACAGCTTTAATAGAGAAACTAAAATATGATCATATGACACATCCATCTGGTTTTTGCATGAACATGTAACTTCCCATCAGCAAAAACATCATGCCTTCACTAAGACATCAATTGTCAATGTCATTAGCAGGCAATTTGAATGGAATTTCCATTTGTAATCCGATTTTTGAAAACAATTTGAAAATGGCTGGTGGACTCATGACTAATAAACTTTATTCGTTTATAATAAAGTATTTAAACCACAATTTCTTGACTAGTCCAAATGCCTTTGAGACAGACAACGGCTAAGGTGGGGGCTAGACAAGTGCGATTGCCCTGTCGACTGTTGCTAATGTAAAGCCCCGTTCACACTACATGCGACCAAGCGACGCGATACCATTCATTATCAATGGTGAGCGGGCGACTTCCGGCGACATGCGCGACCGTTGGGGCGTGTACAGCGACGCGACAAAGTTGAGAAATGTTTAACTTTATGCAAATGAAGGGCGATTTTCACGAGCGACAACCAATAGGAGTGAAGTCATTGGAGCGCGTCACTCTTCAGTGCTGAGTCTGACCGAGGCAAGTTGAACGAGAAGCTAATTTTAGCAGTCAGAAACTGTCCTATAATTCATGATATATCTCCGTGTACATACAGTGGTGTTCATCGTACTGACTCCGTGACTGAATGGTTTCAGGGAACCCAGATAGGCCGGTATTTGCCCGTTTGCTGCAGTTAAATTGCCGCGATGGCAAAGAGCACTCACTGTTTCTCGTTCATCTTTAATATTATGCATTTTATGTACCGATTCCATTTATATTTAGACTTTTCCTTACAAAATATTTGTTTGTAGCGGCAATAAAATGTATTTGTTGTCTAACATATAGAGTAACTTCCGTGAATGTCACTCACAAACATTACTAGGCAACCAGTGGGGAACGCCCTCCGGCGCAGCCACAGGCGACCTGCAGCGACAAAGTCGCGTGTAGTGTGAACGGGGCTTAAGTGTAAATACAGTGACTGAACCTGGGTTTTAAGAACCAGGGGCCGGATTCACAAAACATTCTTAAGAATAAAATTACTCTGAAGTGAAACTGATCGATCATTAAAACAGTGATCAGATTAACTTGGCAAGTTGGCACAATACATTAAAAACAGAATGCTGAGCAATGGGCTATATGCACGCATAAGTTCCGCATTTGACGTAAGGATGCTCGTCCATTTCCGGTTGTGTAGATTAAAGCGGAGGAAAACCGGAGAAAACGGGATTATGGCAGAGTCTTCAATATTTACTGTCCTCTCGTCTTTGAAACGAAACGTACATACGTTTAGATGTAATTTTATATATAGTTATGTTTATTTAATATAATTTTAAAAAGAAGCATAAACACAACGAGGGGTGTCTGTTTTATCTGTTTTTGTGACTAACGTTTCATTAGTATAACCATGGAGTATAAAATTCAATATAAATTCTCGGTATTGCATTGGACTCTATGATCGGCGGAAGTTATCGAGCATCCTTAATCCTTCACCGGAAATAACGCCGTGCATAGAGCCCATAACTCCGATCAAGACAGTCCCGACTAAAATAGTCTGCGCGCTTATGATAACTCCGGTAATCTGCAGGCAAAAAGCAAATAGACAGGTTTTGAGTGTTTTCATTCAGCGAGTCTTCAGCAATACCCAACTCTCAATCAAATAACACCAACACCTGTCATTTTTTTCTAAAGAAAATGAAAAATGAATGAAAATTAATGAGAGCTACTGAGGAATTTAAGAATTGCACAATTTTACATACTTTTTGTTATTGTTTTCTTTCTTCTGAAGATTTACGAAATAAGAACTTCTTTCTTAAGATTTTCATGAATCCGGAAAAGATCTGATACAAAACGGAGCTTACAACACATTATGTTTTTTTTTACTGTGTCTAAGTTCGAGAAACCAGAAATGCTAAAACTAATTTAATTAGACTACTCAAAAAAACACTTTAGGAGTCTGGGGGTAAAGAAAAGTACGATTGTATTACCATAACAGACACTGTGTGAAAATACCATGGTTTTTGGACTTTAGAATACTATGGTATATATGAATATGCAAATCAAATTGTACCAATTGTGTTATACTTCAAACTACTATTGTATTACTATTTGATACAAGAACTATGGCAATGTCACAGGATTTTTAGATCGAATTTAACCAACAAAAATCTCACACACAGCTTACAGAGGAGTGGACAAAGCTGAAGTTCCCACAATGCCTCACACATCACCTGTCCCTCTGTTCTGGTTTGATGTATTATTCATGTAGCCTGGGTCCAGATGCATTGTATGGCAGGCAATGTGAAGAGGTGGGCTTGGTGCTGCAATATCAAACTCACACATGCTCAGAGGGATGCCACTGGAATGCTAAACAAACCCGGTTCCTGAATAATTGAGCCTTTCGGACCACTCTGGCTCACCCTATTAGCATGTGTGCCTTCTGGACCCAATCTGTGCAGCCACAGTTTCCACAGGTCACTCACACACTCTCTGCAGCCTGGTGTGAATTCAGCAGCCCCTGCCATTCATTAGAAACACAATAAAACCTCCTGCATGTAACCTAATTATTTACCGACTCTAATTAATCCTCCAATCACAAGAGATTCCCCAAGATCTACATGCCAGATGAGGTAGCGAAGTCTGTTTTCCTGGCGGGAGAACAGTAGCATTCAGTGTTTCTTCGTTCTGTCAGGACAACACAATACTGAGTGTTAAAGCAAAGTCAGCATCAACAGGCTTTCAATGGTCAACTCATCTCCGTATAATTGGATTGAAATTCCCCCGCTGCATATTTGCAGTCTGTCTGGAGTCCCCAAGCATGATAATAGGTGCTTTATGAAACGCATGCTAAGTAAATAAAGACAAGACGGCAGACACAACAGACCCAGTGTACCGGTGCTATTATCAGGTCATCGTAATCTTTGGCCTGAGAACTTTAAATTGGATTCTCATTTAGACAAAACTGACCCAAAGGTCTGTTTGGGAATCTCTTGGGCAAACGCTCTAATCTTCCAGTTAGGACCACAGTCAGTGATCACTTTGTCACCGTGGCAAAACCTCATTCGTTCTGAGCTGACTACCTCCATGTTTGGAGGGTGAAAAAAAAAAAGTGTCTCCGGAATGGATTAGCTGCCATTTGGAGCGAGCATTCCTGAGGTTCTCCGCCGTGGTGTCTGGAAAGGGCAAAGCAGGTCAAAAGTTGGGTCGCATGAGTGGCCGGAGGGGGTGGAATGGCAGGAAAATAAGTCTTTAGCTTGTTGACACTTAGTACGACAAGCTTAAGCCCTTGGCCTTAGCCAGGCTTCGGCTAAAAGCTAGTCGTGCTTGTGTGGGCAAACATATTTCCGCTTGTTCACTGTGAAAGAGTTTACCAATGTACCTTTGCTCTGAAAACTAGTTAAACAAACCTAGTGAATTAAATCTCAGTACAATGTTTGAATGGTTTTAGATCATAATGTTGCCTTTCAAAGTATTTGTTTCCCAAGATCGCATATCACGCAAGAGCACAAGATAATGGACTATTTTCACAAAGGTTAGTCTATACCCAATTTATCTTCAGACTTTTTTGATTGCATTGTGTACGATACAGAATATGAAGTTGATGGCGGACTTACTAAGTGCCCTGGTGTGGGTGATCTGGAGTCTTTGAGGGCCGCAGCCCCAGGAATGTCAAGAAGAGGCCATTTCATTTGTAGATACTGCAGAGAACAAAAGAGAAAATCACAATCATTAACACATTTGAAAGGTGGTCTACGTCATTGCATAACCAAAAATACTCCTATTAATCCAAATGGATATAATGATTTTAAAAAGTTTCCACCTTCAACGGGCGGGTTGAAAAGGTTTTTGTACTGCATTAAAGGAATAAACCAGGATATTTTATTTGCCACAGGAAAAAATTAAATCGGACACCTTCAATTTATGAACTTGGTTGAAAAGTCCATGAAGGTACAATTGACTATTAAGTGTAGCATATAGACTAGTATTTCTATACACAAACACAGATCTGTTTTTAATCTGGAATATTCCTTTAAATTGGAATTAGTCTGGTAGGGAGATTCAATGGAAGAAAAGAAATCAACTGAATGGACCAATGAGTCATCAACGAGTTTTAGCAATCCAGCTGTTCTTTGTCTTAATTCATTTGAAAGCTGTAGAGATGAACTTCGAGTGCTGTTTAGCACCTGGGAGCGTTAGCTGGAACAGTTTGCAGGGCCGAGACAAGAGCAGTCCGGCCCAGGGGAGGGGAAAGTTAAACATGATTTGCACTGCAGGTCCCAGCATAGTAAATGCCCAGCTGGATGGATAATATGGGTGTATGTTAGTTTGAGGAACAGCTGGGAGGAAATCCCATAACGTACTGGGAGAATAGGAAGGGGCCTTACAGAATGCATAGAGCAGAATCAGAGATCTGCCTTTGTCGAATTTTACCCATCTATAAATCAATGAGTGCGTATGAAGAACGCAAAAGCGATGCTGCTAGGGTGAGCGAGGTATGGAATGAGAGAAGGAGCAGGGAGGAGACACACAGTGATGAATGACTGGACTTCCTATACAGAGGGAGACATTTATTGTGCAAGCCCTTGTTGCTCAGTGCACTTGTCAAAGTTTGATGCCTTTCAGCTTTTCTGGGGCCCCTCGCATCCAGCGCTTATGATTTTCAGGAGCAATTTATAAAATCGAGTTTTTCAACCCTTCACGGAGCAACCCCGCCTGGCTCGGTCATCTGGTTTGTGTAGAAGTCAAACCATATCAGATGTTCCTGTGGAGTCATCATTCCTGTATCTAAGCTCTTGAGTCTAGGGGCTGAAAGCATCTGGGGTTATAGTGAACATATACCTCAAAAACTCTTTCCAATTTATAGTTCTCCTTAAGGGACACCATAAATGTAGACAAATCCTTATACATCGACATCCAAGCATATATACTAGGGGTGGGCTATGATCAACATCTCGTATCACAGTCACAGTTATTTTTGCCTGAAATGCAATTAATTATTAGCAGTAATCTCTCGTATAGGCATAAGTTGGATATTATCCAACATCCCAACACCAAAACTCCAGCAGAGTCCATCGTTAAAACAATAAGATATCATAGTAAACAATACAGAGCCGGTGCAAGGGCTGTGCGAACTGTGCAACCGCACAGGGCCTCAAGGTTTTTCATAGGGCTGAAATCTCCCAGTCAATTTATTGGTCGAAACGTTCCGGATCAACCAAAATTCTGATTGGTCGTTTTTTGACGTGTTAATTTCATCAGGTGGAAAGCAGTAATTGTTAATGGGGGTGTTTTCAGAGCACCCCTGTCTTCAGAACACCCCCCTTGTTAGCACTTTTTTGGATTAGCCTAATCTACTGGAGACAGATGGAAGAAAGTACAAATGGCTACAAATGGCATATCACCTAAAAACGGTGAGCTAACTTGTCTGCGTTAGGTTGCCCCGTCTGTTTTGAATAGGCTATATGAATGAACATATAAGAATTGGCCTAAACATTGAAATATGCCAATTAGTAATAATCGTTTTTATAACTGTAGACACACATTGGGCAATTGAGCTGTATATGTTTTGAGCCAGTAAAAAAAAATAAGTTAATGATCTCCATACGGGTGATTATCTGCTTATCGTTATTTAATTAAAATCTCTATTCAACAGATTTCAATGTAATACCTTTTAAAGCAACACCAAGGAACTTTTCCTCTGCGGTCACCCTACAGGTTGGAAGCGGAATTGTCCAATTATGTTGCATATTCCTCAACAGTTCTTGTGCTGATATCACTAGTTGACAAAGTACTATTTTCAGAAATCATAGGCAGTCATATTGCGCAGGTGCACGTGATGCAACGCAGTCAGAGACGACAGAGTGTGTAATTTCAGTGCCACATAATTAGGTCAAAAAAACGATTTAATATACTGCAAATAGCCTATTCGTTTTTATGTTTATCTATAAATAAACATTTATCCTTGCATGGGGCCTTACATTTCAAGTTTGCACAGGGCCTCGCACCCCACCTGCGACGGCACTGAAACAACCCAAACATGTTCTACAACCAACCATCGTGGTACATAAGGGGTTAATAAGGCTTTGTTTCTCCCTTTAAACTTCATTCATCACAAGTGGAATTGTTGTGAGGATGTTTGGTTAAGACTGTGGGCTAAAAATGGAAAAGACATTATGGTCCGGTGGACGGGGTTGCAGGGTTAGTTGGAGCGGAAAACAAAAGTAGTTCATGAGCAAGGATTGGTACAGTTTCCTTACAGCTGGCAGGATGAATCGAGACCTTGTGCCTTGTTTATTAAAGATGTTGGTTCACTTTCACCTTCCCTTGTCTGTAGTACAGTTGATAAACGGCAACTGTAACTAAGTTCAACTTCTAATTTGGCCAGACAGTCAAAATGAATGTCCTTTAAGAGACAACTGACCTAAAAATGAACTCCTCCTTGCGTTTTGTTCCAAACCTGTATGATTTTCTGTCTTCTGTGGAGCATAAAAGATGATATTTTGAAGAATTTTGGGGTCCAAGCAACATAAAAATAGTAATTCCCATTTGAAATGCGTTTCAGTAAATAATGACAGAATTTACGTTTTAAGGTGAGCTATCCCTTTAAGATCATGGCCTGCTTTCAGTGCGCATCTGTGAACGGTTCTTGAGAGGAACCACTCTGAGAAACATCTAGTTCTTGTCCGAGGCCTACCAAGTTTCTGGTATTTGCAGCTGCAGTTAAAGTGGACGGATGACTGAAAAAATACAATCTACCTTCCCCATCATAACCGCCATCACTTGACTGAAAACTTAACATACTATCTTGAAATACAATCTCAGTTTTGCCTTCCCACACAAACACACAGACTACCGGGCTGCAGGGACCTGTGCCCTGCTTTTCTGGAGACACAAAGGGAGATCGGCCAAAGTAAACAATCATGGGGTCTGGGGATTTGTATTTGAAAGCCATAATTCCAGGAGCAGATGCTTAGCAATATGCAACATTGACTTCTTGTTGAGAAGAGAAAAGAAATGGTGCGCAGACATGAACCCCTCAAAATGTATGTCAAATGAGGCGACGACCTGCTGACCAACATAATCAATCAAAGCCTCACGAAGAAAAACATCACAAACAAATACTATGCAAGAAAAATACATTCTATATCTGCAAACTGTGGTCGAAAATATGTGGTCAACCAATAATAGTTTCAACACGAGGTGGCTGACATGCATGATATTTATTTATTTAAATTTTTCTACTCTATATTTAAATTTATTTTATATTTATAAATGCATAAAAAAAACTGTGGATCTTAAAATGGCCAAATATCCACAGAATAATCTGCCTGGCTGATATTTAAAAAAAAAAAAATCTTGAGCATGCATACTGATTATTAAAAATACTTTAAATAATCACGATTAATCGCATCCAAAATAAAAGTTTGTGTTTACATAATATATGTGTGTGTATAATTATTTTGTATATATAAATACACACATATGCATGTATATATTTAAGAAAAAGGTGTTATTAATATATCAAATATTTATATTTATTTATAATATTAATTTTGTATAAATATACATAAAGTACATACTTGCAAATATTTCTTAAATATATACATGCATGTGTGTGTATTTATATATACAAAATAATTATACACACTACACACATATATTATGTTAACACAAACTTTTATTTTGGATGCGATTAAACGCGATTAATTTTTTCACAGCCCTAGAAAAAAGATACTGAATTATTAAAAAAAATTAAAAAAAATCAATGTCACTCATTGCCCTAGGCAGGCTAAGCCCGAAGACATACTTCTAACCGGGTTCATGCGGGGGTTTAATTTCATAAACACACCTAGAGTGGGTTTGTAGCTGTCTACTTGATGTCAAGAGGTCACAGAGAAAGATTGAAATGCTGTTTAAATACTTTCTGCACCGCTGAGCGAAGATGATTTGGATCTTTAACAGGATTGTGACAACTTAAAACTTCACAAATACACTCTTGACAGTCATATGCTGAATGAAATGAAGACGACACATCTTTAAGGGGATATCTCTCTGGAAGTCTCAACATGTGTTTCTGCAACCGCAAGCTTCGTTTTGGACACCGGGGATTTTAAAACGCTGTACCTCAAACAGCAACAGCTTCCAATAGCACAATGTTCTTGGGGGGTGGGGATTGGATAAATCCTGAGTGGGGCGGAGCCAAGTAGGTCATGTCAATCACTCAAAGCATGGCCTACATTTCCCCCCAATGTTTTCACCCATTCCACACACACCCTCCACTAGAATGGAGCAGGACGTTGGCGGAGCACAAAGGAATCCATTACATCTTAGCATCAGAACAGTCAAGACAGACAAAAGCTCTGGATTACATGCATGTATGCCTATAGGGCAGTGCCCTGATGCGGCCAGAGGGGTCTGACATCACCTGACTCATTTATTTACGCGAGCGACACCTCTTGCTGCTCTTTTCACTTGCTGCCAGAGGGAAAGACAATAGAGACGGCGGTTTCCAGCCCTCCCTCACCGCAGGTTGGCATTCAGGCCTATTGTTTGTTTAAGAGCTGCAAGAGTTTCCGATAATTAAGTAAACAATTCATAGGCAAACGACACCCCTATCTGTGCTAATTGGAAATTAATTTGCAGGGAAAGGAGAGGAATTCTTGACCGCCTCCAAATATGAATTAGGAGATCTGAGCCT